TTTTTTTTTTTACTTAATAGTTTCAAAACAATTTATATTCAACCAGTTGGTAGTTTTAATCATCCAAGGTAAAAAAAAAATTAATTTCTTTTGTTTGTTTGTTTGTTTATTTATTTTTGATTGAATTATTATTAATATGGAATTTTAGAGCTGCACCACTTGATATAATTATTCAATTTGCTTGTGTATTTTTTGCAGGATGTGAAGTTGAATTATTACCAACAATTGATTTTTCAAAAGATATGAAATATAGAGAAAATAATGGAATAAGACAATATTGAACAGATGGATTTTATAATTATCTATCTCAAACACGTCATCATCGTGATGCAAGACGAGAACTTTTATGTGTTGCTGTAACTATGGCTGATATTTATCCGAATGAAAGTTGGAATTTTGTTTATGGAGAAGCACGAACAATAGATAGTCTTGGTGTTTATTCATTTGCACGTCTTGATCCATTATTTCCTGCATCACCACAACGTTTACTATCAGTTCCATTAACTGATGAACATTGTGTAATAATGCTTCGACGTTGTATAAAAATTCTTCTACATGAATTAGGTCATTTATTTGGTTTAAAACATTGTATCTATTATGTTTGTTTGATGAATGGTGCAAATAATCAAATTGAAATGGATCGACAAACTTTATATTTATGTCCTATTTGTTTACGTAAATTATATTCAACACTTCAATTTGATGTTCGACATATGTATGAAAATTTTGTAAATCTATATGAAATATACGGACTTGAAGAAGAACGTATATGGTATCGAAAACGTCTAGATTGTATTCAAGATAATAACAGATAAATGAAAATAATATCGAAAAACTAAAATGATACTAAACATAAAAAGTTTTTTATAAAAATGGATGTTATATTAACTCTTTGAAACCGATGGTACATATACATTGTACCACTTTTCAATAGAGGAAAAGTCCTACAATCCGGGTTGGATATACGACATCCGATCCACCTCCGGAGCATAGGTCCGAGCGCAAACTGGCAGGGTTCTTTTTCAAACTACTATTTATATAAAAGTGAAAACCGGTTCGATCATGATTGAGCAATCTATTGTACTTGAGAACAGGTCGCAGAAATAGAAAGCAACATTGTTTTACAAAAAGTATTCGTTTTTTAATGAAAATTCATCTACAGATGATGATGAATCCTATGACAAAGTAATTGAATACATGAAGAGGAAAATGAATTATCAAAAAGATGAGCATGTATTATCGTAATGAAAAAAAGCATTCAGGTATACATCCTCAATTATGACATTTGTCAACAATACTGCGTTTCATTCTAACGTCATCAGCAACGAGCAAACCTATACTGATGCATATTGATCAAATTTTAGAAGCAGAAAGACACTATAGTATACGTTTTCATATAAAATAGAACTTTAAAAATCGTACTGTGACTGTGGAAGCATCTGTCGGATATCGATAGACTCCAGTTGTGAAAAGTCGTACCCATACAGGACCCTAATGAAAGTACTAAGTGTAGGACACCTGATAAAGTATCTTGGTACCAGTATGTCCGAGAAACTTGGTTAACTATTTTGCTAAAAACCATCTCAATACTTGAATACTCGAAGCGAGTACTTGTACGTTTCGAAATGTCTTGTGTTATAAATGTTTTCATAGATTAATCTCGTCAAGATTCAGAAATATCTTAAAATTAAACGTATAGGTATTGCAGAACAAGTAGTCTGATCGAGGTATGATCATTTTACTTAATTTCCAGCTAATTACAGACTATTACAATGAAAACTAAATGCAGAATTTTTAGTCTGAAATTTTACCAAGAAATAAATCGGATTGTCCTTATAATATCTTGAAAATTTCAGCAAAAACCGAATAGTTTCTTCTCAAGATCACAGAGTTACAAAATCGTTAGTTTCTCGCAAAAGATTCGAATAAATCCAACTTTTTTGAATATACCATATCTCAAGAAGAAATCATCCGCTTTTGCTGAAGATTTCACGATTTTATAAAGACTGTGAGATCTAGCTTCGGGTAAAATTTAAGACTGAAAAATTCTCAATTCAGTTTTTCTCGTAATATTCTGCAATCGGCTGGAAATTGAGTAAAATAATCATAACTCAAATCGAATGGAGGTTATATATTAGAACAGTTCCCTCATCAATCTTTCATTACCTTCATATGTCAGAAATGATTCAATGGAAATATGTATCTAAGAAAGATATAGTTCATTGCCAAGTATAAGTCAAGACTCATTTATCTGTCATTTTTATCATTTTATTAATATTGATAAAAGCATCATGTTCACATCGATTTTCATACAATAAAGTACTCGTAGTATATTCATTTTTTTGAATTATCAAATTTTCTACATCACATAAAAATACAATCAACAAGTTTCTCAGTCGTACACAACTCAATTCTTGAAATAATAATTTCAAAATGAGATAAAATAAAATGTTATAAAGCAAGTTGTCTTATCTGATAATATAATAACCTTGAGTTCTTTTCTTCTGAGTAATAGAATATGAAGGTTAAACTTCTCAGTATACAATAGAAGTCATTAAACGTTCTTAGTATAACAGAAATTTTTTTTATTAATGTTAATGAATATTTGAACATTCTCAATGTCGCATACAATATGAATTGTGTTAGAATAAAATTGCTCAGACTTCATGATTGCAAAGAAACAAAGTACAATAAGTGTGGAACAGAAGCAATAGTTTAATGTCAATGAGAATAATTCATTCTAATCATGAGAAAATAAATGAATTAGATTAGAAAGAAAATTAATCGACAACAGAGAACGAATAATTTACTTTGATTGGAGAGGATTTCGTAAAGTCATTCGTCTACAAAATTTTCTATGCTATACTTTTTTGAATGCTACCATTTTGAGTTGTAAACATGGACTTTGTGATTAACATGGTCATGCATTTCAATGACAAAAAAAAAACTCAACATCCGTCTTTTTTTATTTTTTGAAGATATGAACAACAAAAAGAATGTTATAGTTTGATAGAAGATCAATCTGTTCCAAACAACAAGTTTCTATGATTTTAACTTGTTCTTTTTTCTTTCTAAACATTTATATTAACACAAAAAGTATTAACGACATTAACACCAATAACAACAATCGATTACAGGAAAAAAAAAGAGAAAAGAAAAACAACGAGAGAAATGCATGATGATAATGACAAAGCAAGTTTTTTTTCCATTATTCATCGTCTATCTCGACTATAAAAGGTAACATCGACGTGCTCACTATCACTATTACAGCTTTTGTTTGCACTTACATAGCAAGATACTTCGTCGTTTTTTTCAAGCAGTTCTTACTAACCTATACAAGATAAATATGGTTAAAGTACACGTTGTTTATTGCAGTGGATGAGGTTATGGGAGCAAGTTTCAAAAGTTCAGTAATGAACTGAAGAAAGCTTGCTCCAACATAGATCTCGATATTGTAAGTTATGATTTATTTATTTATTTATTTTATATTAAATTTCATTAAAAAATAAATAAATTTTAGACCAGTGAACCAACATCTGACGTTACTGGATTTTTCGAGGTTACCGTTGATGGAAAATTAGTTCATTCAAAAAAAGTAATTATATATTTTCGAATGAAATTTAATGAATTAATCAATTCTCTAGGATGGTGATGGACTTCCTGATACGAAAGAAAAGATGGATAAGATCGTGAAAGCGGTCGAAGAAGCTAAATAATCGAATGAAACTAATTTATTAAATAAATATAAGAAGAGCAATGTTGGTATGTTAAATTTTGAAAATAAAAAGAAAAAAATCATATATTAATTTTTTTTCTTGTTTAGAATGTCATCTTGAGATGATTGATTTGAACGGTCGACTACCAAAAATGATGTGTTGTGTGATCAAATTTACAAAGTCCTCAATACTGATTCAGTCAATAATGATAGTTACATTTCAATCATCTATGCAATTTAACATTCACATTTGGGACTCTATTTTTGTTTTTCTTATTTGAATGTTTCCGTAAATTTTTTCTAGGCTCCAGGAAATAAAAGATCACTATAATAAAATAATCAAGCATCAAAAGTATACTACACCTTCGCTTTAAGGGTGTTCTTTTCAGAAAACTCGATTTTCGTCAAAAAAATAATTTTTGATTTAAACATATAAATATTTTGTCTGAGCTGCCGACAGTATGAAATCATAAAAATAGTTTTGATTCTCGAGTCAGGATGCAGGACATGACAGAGCACTTTTTTTTAATTCTTACTTTCGAAGCAAAGAAA